TCAATAATAAATGAAATGAAAATTACAATACTGTTTCAAGTCAATCAGTAAAAATAGATATGAATAATTAATAAATCGGTTTTAATTTACAATATTAACTCAAGTAAATCAATGATAGAGAAGATGATAAACAATAGATCGATATTCTTTCCTATCGACTTAATCCTATAATATGGTGAAATGACTGGTCTTTAATCGATCCATTAAAGTAATCATACAAGGAAGATGTCACTAGAAAATGATCATTCCTCTATAATCCTGTGAGGATATCAATGTAGTGAATAATAATCCATCTGTACATCTGCATCAAGACTCTTTTATTCTCTTACCCTTACCCTACCCTACCCTGTAACAGTCTTACCCTTATCCTACCCTACCCTGCAGCACCTTACCCTTACCCTATCCTACCCTGCAGGGTAGGGTAGGGTAGGGTAACCCTGCACATCTCTACCTATGAAGTCAAAAAAATTGATGTTTTTTTCCAAATTAATTGAAGAAAAGTGACATTTTAATTAAGCAAATGCAGTGAATTTCATTTTTAATCAAAATCATTCAATGAAATTAATAAAAATATATATTTTAATCGATGAATTTGAAATATATCAATTTTTTTTGTCTATTTCATCATTTTAATGCCATTTTTTAACTCCCTGGATATAACATTTTTTCGAAGAATCATTTAAAATACAAATGATATCTTTTATTGATTTAGTCCATTGATACGATAAAATCTATAATTCTAAAGATATTGTTGATTCTGTAGCAAATATTCTTGTACTAGCCTGAACCCCGCACATACTGCACGGGCGTCTATTTTTAAGCACTATCTTTTAATCCTCATAGCTCTGAGCACGAATTCTCTAGGTCTCGATCGTGCTGTATGTTCTCCGTTCGTTGTGCGTATTCCGTGCGATTTGGTGTTGTCTCTGTTATTGAGTTTCATATATTCTGTTAAATTCCAGAACATTCTAGAACTCTGTTAATTCTACATCGTTGTGGAAAGCTCCAGGGAATTCTAGAAGTGTTTGGCCATTGATCTTTGACCTGCTAACAAACAGACAGCCATGTTTTATTAAACATGTATGGATGAGCCGAGGATGAATTTTGTTTGGTTGAGCAATTATTGATGATATTTGACAAAGTTGTTAAAACTCTTCATAAAACATGGCTTTCTTGAAATGTTCGATCATCTTTGATTGTCTTATTGGTTGTTTCTAGGGCGTTGTTTGCACTTGATGCACACAATTGTATACTTTCATACTAACTATCAGAGTCCATCAGGTCTTACCCGGACCCGACTGAGTCTGGATCTGAAAAGATTGTATTTACTGATTTATAAATCTGATTAATTAATAGCTGGCCATTTCATTTATTTTACTCATCATAAATCATATTCTCATTTCTTTTTTTGTAATTTTTTATTTGTCATTAATATAATATACTACTTAGTAGGTGTCCTACAAAAAATTAATTATCACTAAGTGTTTGAAATCGCCGAATAAGACAATCTCATTTCCATTGAATGAATGACGCTACCAGAAGCAATATAAAAATGCATGATAAACATCAATGTGTATCGAATCGTTATACCTATAATCGAATCTCTTCAGGTATCTCCCTCCGATCTCAAGGATTTTTCTCTATAGACACAATTTAGTGTTCAAGTAAAAATCATACGAAAATTCGAGTTCCTATCATTTCTTTCAGTGAATTTTTCTCCTTTGGTATCAGGTTAATAGAAAGATGTATTAAGTAAATTTCGATGTGAAATTTTCAGATCGGAATTCGTTTGATTCATCTGTCTAGTGACCTGATGATAAAAGAAAAAAATTCAAAAATTTGTGCATAACTTCTGAAAGAAGTAATACGAACTTGAATCATTTTAAGGTTTTTACTGAGATACTATGTTATTTCTATAGGTGAAAAAAAATTGTTAAAATCAAATAGGAACATGTCAAGATATTTTGTCGTATATTTTTATTCAGACAAATACAAAATCTTTGGTTTTTCTTTTTTGTTCAAAAATTGCATGATTAATTTAATGTTAGCTAAAAAATTTCGTATAATTTACAAATACAATCAACAAAACATAAATATTTCTATTAATCGGAAACTGAATCTGTATCACTCTCCATATCATAATCAATGTTAAGAAATGGTTGAATTAATAATCTTTGAAATGTTGTTAGACGACTTGTTGATGTAGGTGAAGGTGGAGTTTGTACAGAAGCAACTTTTGTCTCCACTGGAGGTGATAAACTAGGTTCTGTAGAGGCATCTATTTTATGTGTCCAACGTACATGAGCTCGACGATTGTCCCACTATAAAAAAAAAATAACAAATAATATTAATCTATCGAGATTCTAATAATGAATAGTAAATAGATACTTAACATATGGTGCGAAAGCTTGGGACAAAATATTCACTCATTTTTCGACTATTTAAAGACAATTGGTTAGAATCAAACTTTTTTCATTCTTTCTAAATATGTGCTTAGAATTTCCTTCTGACCTAAGATTGGACAACTATGTATCAAACAAAGATGAAATCGGTCTGAGTACCAAACCGTTCGGTCCATATCGACACTAGACTGACGAGTTGTCGTACTAGTCTATCTGTGGATAGTATTATTTGATGTAGGCAACTTTCAACAATTTCATTACACTTCTTCTTTGAGATAATAAAAGCAAAAAAAAAATTAAATAAGACATGCCAGTAGCCTATACTGGTTCTATTTCTACTGTCAAATTCAAAATATGACATAGTTTTGTAGAGCATATTCTTAGAAAATCCACCTTTAAAGTTGGACATTTACGCCTAGAAGTTTCATAAACAAATTTTATATTGCTAGCAAATGGTATAGCTATGATCATCATGTTGATGAGACGGAAGATCTCGAGACACTAAAATTAATCATCTATTTAGTATAAAATTGAATAGGCAGTTCATTTCAAGTTAAAAAGCTTAATGCAAAATTAGATCTCATACATCAAAATTCTCTTTTTATTTAAGCAATCGAAACGAAATTGTCTATCTCACCTAAACTCTTAACCAAGTATGTACACAAAAACTTTCCGATCTCCAGCATTTACAACAACTGAGACTTTTGTCCGCTACTGTATATTCGGAAATAACGAAAAAAAATTCTAATTCGATCTCTAACCAATTATATTTTAATTGTCGAAAAATGAGCGAATACTTTCGCATTATTGATTAGGTATCCAAATAAAAGAAACATTTAAAAAATAAAAGCAAACTCACTGATGTTGATATAATATAATTTTCAAAAGGATGCCAAGCTACATCTCGTACACATTTATCTCTTCCTCCACCATATTGATTATTTCGTATACGAAGACATCTTTCAATAGCACCGGTAAGAACGTCATAAACTAAAAAAACAAACAAACAAACACATCAGTACAAAAATATCGATCTCTATTTATCATTAAACAAAACTTTACGTACTATATACACAACCATCCGATGATCCAGTAATAATATATCGTTGTCCTGTTGTAAATGATGGTGAAAAATAACAACGTATAAGTGTATAACCAATAGAATGTCCACGATATGTACATACACTTGGATCACCTGGTATATCATGTCTTTGAACTTAAAATAATATTATGTGGTTAAATAAAAAAACAAAAAAACCAAATTTCTGTTTTTATTTTTCTTCCTTACGTGTTTGTGGTTGTACACCAGCTCGATAATCCCAAACGCGATTAATAGCATTTGACATTGTACGACTTTTCTGTATTGTTGAATTATTAGCAAAACGACGCATATCCCATAATTTAATAGTTTGATCTTTACAATTAGATATTAAATATCTTGAATCCATCTAATTATATAATATTAAAAAAAAAACAAAAAAGAATTTTCAAATAAATTCTTACTCGACTATGTACAAAAGTAATACCACTTGTATGACCAGCAAATATTCCAACTGGTTTAGGTTGAGATTCATTTAATGCTCGTCGATCCCAAACTAAAATAAGACCATCATCAGAACCACTAACAACTAAAGAATTTGAATTATCAATAAAACGAACAGTATTAACATCATTTTGATGAGCTAAAACCTAGTTTTTTTTTTTTAAATAAATATTTGAATAAATTATTATTATTTTTTCTTCTTTTTAAATATTTACACGTAATGTTCGTTTTTGTTTTTGAAGATCAAATATATATACACATGTATCATTTGCACCACAAATTATTTCTGAACCATCAACAGAAAATTGTAGAGAAAATATTGAAAAATTATTTGAATGAGGTTGTAAATATAATGGTATAATATTTGGTTGACATTGATTTTCATTTAATTTTACCAAATAAACTAAATCAAAAACAAAATTTATAATTCTCTTTCTTTTTTTTTATCTGATTTTGAACTTACTACTATGTGACCATGTTGAATAAGCTACATTATTTCGATCTGGTGATAAAGCTGTGTCTAATATAGACCAACCAACATCATCAACTTCAATTTCTGCTAGACGATTAAATGTTCGTGACGATGATGTATCATAAAGACGAATACAATAATCTAAAAGAAAAAAAAAAAAAAACAAAAAGAAATTTATTCAAACATTAATTTATTCTTGTTCAACCAACCTTGACAAGCACTAATAAAACGTTGTCCATCATCGGAAAATTGACCACAAAAAGTTGGTTTTGTCATAGATGCAATTACTTCACCTTCCTCAGGCAATAATCCAAAAAGGAAAAAAAAAACAAAAGCAAACAGAGAGAAAAATATTCAATATTTCTAATATAAATACCTATCCATTAAACGATATCGTGCTTCAGGATATCGACGAAAATTAATTAAACCAATTTCACGCTGAATATTTTTTTAATAAAATTAAAATAAATTCATGAATTAATTGTTGTTTTCGAACCTGTTTTAAAATCGATATCGAATTTTTCGCATCAGAAAATTTTCTCGAATTTGTTTGATGTGAACATTTTATCGGTTGTGCATATGTAGCATGAAGATCTTGTAATGCTTCAATCTAAATGCCAAAAAAAAAAAAAATTAAATTTTTACATGAAAAAAAAATTTTAAATTTACTATTTTACTTGGTCCTCATTCTTCCTTTCAACATGATCTTCATCTTGTTCTGGAAATATTAATGGTTCTATATCCATAGAGAAAAATTTTAATTTCATATTTAAAAGAAAAAAAAATTGTTTTTTTTCTACCTTCAGAAAACAAAGCAGCAAATATTCGATGCATACTAAAAATATTTATATATATACATATATAAACGTTTTTCCCATTCGTTCGATATTTTCATTAATGACTACATGCGACATCTAAACGAATCTCATACCACCTTTCAACCAGTCATCTCTCTCTCTTATTTTATCATTGAAATATATGATTGGTTTCATAGTTTATCGAAGGTTTTGTTTTCTTATTCGTCTTCTCTTACATTCATTTTATTCCTATCGTCGAATTTATTTAAAACTAAATAAATTTTTCTTTTTTTTTTTACATATTTATAGATATACAATCATGAAACTTAATATAGCTTATCCAGTAACAGGTTGTCAAAAATTACTCGATATTGATGATGATCGTAAATTACGTCCATTCATGGAGAAACGTATAGCACAAGAAGTTGATGCTAGTTGTTTAGGTAATGAATGGAAAGGTTATGCATTACGTATAACAGGTGGAAATGATAAACAAGGTTTTCCAATGATGCAAGGTGTTTTAACAAATCAACGTGTACGTTTATTACTTGATAAACGTCATAAATGTTATCGTCAACGACGAAAAGGTGAACGTAAACGTAAATCAGTTCGTGGTTGTATTGTTGATGGAAATTTATCTGTATTAGCATGTATTATAACAAAACGTGGTGAACAAGATATTGATGGTTTAACAAATAAAACAATTCCACGACGTCTTGGACCAAAACGTGCAAATCATATACGTAAATTATTTAATTTAAGTAAAGAAGATGATGTTAGAAAATATGTTGTTAAAAGATCATTAACAAAAGAAAGTAAAAAACCACGTTATAAAGCACCAAAAATTCAACGTTTAATTACACCACGACGTATTCAACGTAAAAGACATATGTTATCATTGAAAAAACGACGAGCTGAAAAACAACGTATTCTTCAAAATGAGTAAATTAATTCATTTTTTTTTTTAATTTTATATAATTAATTATTTTATTAGATATGCTAAATTACTTCAACAATTTGCTAAAGAAAAACGTGAACGTAAACGTAGTGAATCAAAACGTCGTTCATCATCACGATTATCCGAATCAAAAGCATAAAAAAGAAAAACATAATATTTTTTAATGACAACAATGAATTTTACAAATACAAAAGAATTATTTTAGTTGTCATTTTGATGTCATCATTTGTTTATTTCTTTTTTTCTTTTTCTGTTAAAATTATATTTCATAACAAACAAAAAAAAAATAAACATTCAATTGGATATGATGACAAAAAGAAAGAATAATATATATATATATATATATTAGTTTTTTGAGCTTATTTATTTGTTATTTTAGATTTAGATTAAAATTAAATATGGTAAGTATAACAACAGCTTGTTTTATAATAATATATTAAAAAATATGTCAATGTTAATTGATTGATTTGATTATTAGTTTTTCATTTTGATGGATGCAAGTTATTATATACCTATAAAAGCGTTCATTCTTTTTTTCCGGCTTGAATATTTTTCGCGATAGATATAAATAAAGGGATACAATGATATTATGATGTTATCGAAATCAAATAATTCAAGAAGTTCATAGCGAGTATTTTTGTAAACATTTCTATCGTAAACCGTACGTATTTGTTTAATAAAACAACTCCATTAATTTTTTCCGCGATTTTTGTAAAACATAATCTAAAAGGAGTATTGAAATATAGACGGTTGAAAGTTGTACCCACCTCTGCTCTCCCATTACAAACTGTATGTCATTCATTACAATATATGAACTACTTCCTTATTGCAGTTCTAGAGTATTAAGTAAACGATGATGAAGAAATATGTCTCGAAGTAGATTGAATAAAATAATTTTCATGTAATAAGCAACAATAGCTACATCGTGTTTCACATTTTAATTTTAAAGGAATTGCACCATTAGCTTTTTCATACGTATCGTCTATTTTCTTGACACAGAATACAATCAATTCGTTAGTTTCATTTATTAATTAAAGATACATGATGGATTATAAATAACACGATGATAGAAAAATTAAAATAGTCTCCACTTCGCTCGATTAAAATGAACTTTAAATGAGAAAAATACATGTGTAGTACTGTGAGATAATTTTTCAGTTGTCACCGAAGAGAATAAATAGAAGAAATCAAAACGAACTTTATGAATGATATGACACAGATTTACATAGAGTAAATTTTCATGATTAGTTAGTTTAAATGTTGAAATTATTACATCAACACTACACATCTCTATTCATGTTTAAAAATTACAACCGTTGATTTTTAACCTAACTAATTCTGAAAATTTACTCTATGTAGATCGATACAATATTATTCATAAAGCTTGTTTTAATTTGTTTTTTTTTTATTCTCTTATGTAGCAAATGAAAATTATCTTAGAACTCCTCACATATGTATTTTTTTAGTTGATAAAAAGTCAAATTTCTTTAATGAAGTCAACATTAGTATGTAATACCAGAGCTGAGCAAGAGTATGATTATTACCACAGTTGTGCTCAAAGGTAAGTTTATATTTCAGAGGAAGCAATTGTCCACTACATCTCCATTCAATTTGATCCGATCGCTTACTATTGTCACTTTGATATTAATGTGAAGGGTAGCTAACCTACTTTAATTTCTAGGTAAATAGATATACAGCTAAATTTAAGCTTTAAAGTCTTCGGAAATAAATTGCTCGAAAATATCTTGGACATAATATGTAGTCACTGAACATGAATAATTTAAGAAACTCCTGTATTGACTTTTAAAACTCAAAAAACCTAGAAGAAATGTACGTTATACCGTCTCAATCGTGGTGATCAACAAATCACATTCGACAAAATAAACACAATGTCCATATATTTCATTGAAATATTCGCATAGGTGATAGCACTGGATTTGTTAATTGATCACTTTTGTGCATGAGTGCCTTCAGTCTTGCATTATCATAGGAAAGAATCTCTTTTGTCTAAAACCTCGAGTACAAGTACGCCTCATACCTGCTTGACTCTATTTAATACTAGTATTTGTTTGCATTGTTCGTACGAAACAAAAACTTTGAAATAACTGAAGCGCAAAATATTTCTATTGCTGTTATTGCAGTGTTATTTATGGCTCACCCTATATAACAATCTGCAGAATTAGAAAAGCCTTTTTTTTATTTTTAGAAAATGATTACTCGTACAACTATTTTCTTTTTTGAATAACTCTATTTAAGTTGTCAATTATTTACTATACACTCTGTGTAATTGATGGTATATTCTTATATTTTAATTACTAAAAAAAAAAGACTGAGTATTTCACTTAAAAGTAGAATAGAAAAAAGAAATTACATGATAACCAATTAAATCGAATTCTTTACAATATGAAAATTTCTTCCGTACTAAACAGAAATAAAATAGACATGTGTTAGATTTCTTATTTTTAATTTTGAGTAAATAAAAAAAAATCCTCAATAGTGCCGAGCATTTGACAGCATTTATTAAAATGTAGAAATCATTTTAACTTTAATCGTCATTGATTTTTACGAAAGAGATTTAGATCAGACACGTTTAGGATAAGACAAATTAATTATAGAAAAGTCGAAATTAAGTTCAATGTTTTATTATCATTTAATTTTTTTGTTTTAGCGATTTCGTTTTTGTGGTGGTGAAGATTGTGCTGATTGGATATTGGCAGAAATATTTACATTATCAAAATTAGTAAAATTCTCTTTTTTTTATATTCTATTAAAATCATATAAAATTTTTTTTTTTATTTTTAGAGTTCAGTTAAATTAAAATTATTATGTCAACAAGTAATACAAGCAATATTAACAGATAATTTAAATGTAAAATTTCAAATTAGATTTTTATTTTTATCATTTGTCCTATTCTATTTTTCAGTTAAGTGAAGCACAAAAATTAGTTGGTGATAAATTCGGTAAGGATGTAAAACTTAGTTTTTTTGTTTTGTTTTTTGTGATAATTCATATGATTATTAAAATTAGAAAGTGGTGATTTAAAAGCATCAATTCGTGCTTTACAATATATTCTTACTATGTCGGCAAAACATTCTGTTGATGGACAGTCATTATTAAATGAACTTACACAACTCGGTTTTCCCAAAGGTTTTTTAATAATATTAATTTCAATATTTAGTTTTCTTTTTCTTTTTATTTTTCAGAGCATGCTAATGGTTTAGTGAAAGTATATGATGAAAATTTTGAAAAATTAATTGATAAATTACGATCATCTGTGATGCGATGTAAGTTTTTATTTTAATAGGATGCGAAAGTCTTTGTACAAAATATTCACTCATTTTTCAACCACTAAAAGACAATTTTTTTTTCGTTGTGTCCAGATCTATGTTCAGATTTTCATTTTGAGATCAGATTGACTATCTATCAGTAAATTTTGTAATAAAAGTCAAAAACTATGTCTGTACAAAACAAAATAGCAGTTTCGATAGAGTTCTTAGTTTGTATCTTGGAACAGCTTCTACTTAACATTATTATAGAGCACTGAATTCTGTACAATATGACAGCAGTGGACAATAAATCGATCGGTGAGATAAATACTCATTTCAAGCGGAAAAATGCCATCCAGATCGAAAATGAATCTTCTTTCCATTGTGCTCATATAGGACGTCCGTCATATACATATATGCATATGTGTACACATTTCATTCGTATCACATTATTCTATGCATTTTTCCGCCGGATAACTATATTTATGTATGTATACATATAGTGCAGTGTCTAAGAATTTTTCCTATGGACAAATCATTTCATTTTTCCCATAGGAATGTCCATTATTATTATGAATTTTCATTTTTCTGCTGGGTAACTATATCTATATCTAAATATAGAGATACAGTACAGTATCGAAGAATTTTTCCTATAGAGGAATTATCTTTTCATTTTTCGATATAGTTTTTCCGATAGTAATGTTTATTTTTACTATGAATTTTCATTTTTCCGATGAATAAGTGTCTTTACGAAGAAATAGTTATCTTGAAAGTTTTTCAATAAGTGAAATCAATTTCCGTTAGTCGATGTCATGTTTCCTGTAACTTTTTTAAGTATTATATGAATTGCAGTTTTAACCGTTCGATAAATTTTTGCTGTTGCGACTTTATTCAAAGAAGCATTTTTCACTTGCACGTCAAATTTCCGGTGAAAATTAACATTTTTCACATTGATCGAGTCGTTGGTCAATCCTCACACGTAAAAGCTATGACTGAACATATTCATGTAAAAATAATGGTAGATATCATTTTTCTAATGCTTATGAAATTATTCCATTTTTTCTTATATATTTTTCTTATTGATTTTCATTATTCCTGCATTTAGAACCTATGAGTCAACATATACGTATACAAGTAATAGTAGTCATGATTTTTCTAACGCTTATGAAATCATTGGATTTTTCCTTGTACATTTTTTCTTTCAGTATTATGCATTTTTCTGATTGATTTTTATTTTTCCTGTAGTTAGAAGCTATGAATGAACAGATATGTATAAAATCAATACTATACATCATTTTTGTAGCGCGGAGTGTTTAGTGGTAGACTATGTTTGACGTCGGTATCATTTTTCCCCTGCAATGTAGCATTTATGTCACCAATGAATCGAGTGTCCAACCCTCAACCAGTTCTGAGAAATGATTGAATATTTTGCGTCATAGATTATATTAAACTTTTATTTATTTATTTATTTTTTTGTAGTCACGAAAATGAATGATATTCAGTGGAATGTATTTGATATACAAACAACTAATAATTTACATGATATGCATTTACCTGTTGTAACAATGAATTTAAATTATGATGACAAAATAGAGAATCAATCAAAATCAATTTCATTTTCAATGAATGCAGAACAATTTGCTGTTTTATTAACTGGTAGAATTTTTATTTACAAAAAAGAAATTTTTTTTGCTTATATATTTATTTAGATTTACAAGCTGCACGAGATTTAATAAAAACTTATTCAAAATCTTGATAAAATCTAATTATGTTTTTTTTTTTATATTTGATTCTTTTTTTAAATAAGAAATATTAGAAATTATGTGATTGAATATTTTTTTTTTTGTATTCTTTTTTTTTATTCTTGATTTAAAATAGAATGTGCAATAATGTGATTATTTTATTCTTCTTATTATTATTATTAACAAAATCCGGCGAATATTTTCGGTAGGTTCAGAATAATAATAATAATAATAATTAATAAAATGAATGTTTATTTTTAAAAGACTTTTTTCTTCGGGTGCTGGAACATACAAAGAAGCACGTCCATTTTTTGTTTCGTCGAAAAATCTTATTAATGATTATTTTGATGGCGATTTAACACATGTTTTTCAAACAATTAATTCTCATACATTTGTTTTTGTTATGTATTATGCACGTATGTATTTTGATGCATATTAAAAAAACGATAATATCTGTAATAGGAGATAATGAACTAGTAAAAAGACAGTTGCATGGTTCTGTAGGATCATAATCTTATAACTAGTTAAGTAATCAAAATTTTTCTAACAACAAGAGATCTTCAAGTATAATGTATTGTTTTGAATTGAATATATGTGTTAGTTTGTAGAACTTGATTACACTAGCAAGAATTTCAAACTATTCGAATACTAGTTATGATTATATTTTCTTATTTTCTTATTAATAGATTTCTGTGGTATTAGTCGACGAATGCGTGAACCATTTGAAAAAGCAGCTGCTTTCTATCGAGAACGTATTCCTCATGGTAATACTACATTAGATAAATTTCATGTATGTTTATATTTAAAAAATGCTTAAATAAATTTTTTATTTTTTTTTTTGTTAAGGTTAAATTTGTTGCAGTTGATTGTTTTTATCATACTGGTCAATGTCGAAAATCTTATAAACTTGATTATTATCCTCATATGTATTTATATATAAAAGGTACACGAGGTTATCAATATTTTGGACCAACAATAACATCAAATCTTATTGAATTTATTGAAAAAATTCGAATGCCTGTAATAAGAATTACGAATATAGATGAATTTTTAGATTTTATTGTTCAACATGAAGTAATAGAATATAATTTTTCACATTGAAAAATATTTAATTAGTATTCTTCTTAGTCCAATGTTTTAGCTCATTTTGATTTTTCTAATAATTTACAAAGACAATATTATTCATATTTTGTTCAAGCAGCTCTTAAACATATTGAATATGGTATATGATTTATTTTGTTTAATAACGTGTAGATAAGATGTTTATTCACTTTTGATACACTGAAATCAAAATCTATGAGTTAAGATGGTCTCGAGGTCACGAACAACACTTTTTCATTGGAAGTGATATCTTCTATGATCGTGTAAAACTCACAACTCATGTCTTCTAAAAGATTACACAAAAATTATTCAGTACCGATTACTTCAATATTTGTTGTTACAATTTTGATAGTAAAATTAATATATATTTTTTTTTTCGTAGACAACAATTTTGTCAAACACATAAACGTGTAGAATAGACAAAGTATTAGTGAATTAAAAGAAGTAATGAATCTTCAAGAGGAAGGAAATTAGTAGTCGTACAAGATGTCTTGAACTCATTGACACTGCTAGTAAGAGACCTCACAATTTTTGCTAGTGTATGTGTATTATTAAGCGCGAAACTAGCACCGACATTAAAGACGATTGGTCCCGCTCGTCACCAGTAAAGATCAGAATTTTGTACGCTTTTCTAATATTTACTTTGAAATTTTGTTTCGGCTTTTGTTCAAGAGTAATGAAGGACTTTCTGAAAGATTCGAAAAAAAAATATTTTTAATGGTGAGCCAATAGATTTTTGTTTATTCTATAAATTCCTTTTTGAACATTCTAAAAACTGTCGGTCGTTTTGCAGAGCCAACATTTCTCTACAACATGTAATGTTAAACTAACAAGAGAACTACTTTTGCCTATTTCAATGATTTTTTTTGTGCCTAAGAAATACTACATAGTGTTCTAATAAAAACCCTCAAAAGATTTGGGTTTGATTAAACAATCGAATTTTTTTTCTAGAGACCCAAATTTCCGGAAATCTCGTACTTCCGAATTTCCATCTGAAACTTTACACATAGAAAGAACTCAATTAGATTAGTTTCTATAAAAAGAATCAGAAGGTTTGAATAAAGTTTCTTTGAAGTATATACAACAAACATTTTTTGAAAGCTTTATATCTTGAAGAGGCTTTGTTCAAAATTTCTGAATTTATTTTATGGAAGTAGAACATCATGTAGTATCGATAGATGAAAAACTATTGAAATTAGAAAGGTATTCTTTTGTTAGTTCAATATCGCATTTTGTAGAGAAATATCTGCTCTACAAAACAATCGAGACACAACATTTATTCAAAAGAAAGTACAAAATTCTGGTTCTAACTCATACCTTTTGAATATTTTCTAACAAATCAAAAGTGAACAAACATCTTGTTTAAAAATTTTTCGATCACTTGTTATGAAGTTTTTTTCTTTTTTTCATTTATTGTAATAGATAATGAACATCCGATTCGTTTTGCTGTTATTCTTAATCAAACTGTTATTGAAGAATTATCAAATTTATTTAATAATACTTTTCCAGAATCATTTATTATTTTAAATCGATTAAATTCAACACCACAGGTTAGAAAAAAAAGCCATCTTTCTTTTTCCTGTTTGATATTAATTTTTATTCAAAAAAAAAAAAAAAAACTAATAATAATAACAGATATTTCCAAATATGACAAATAATTTTACAATCGAAAATCTTTTTCAATGGATTGTTAATGAATATGTAAGTTTTTAGAATTTATTTTTTATAAAAATTTTTAAATATTTATTATTTATAGAAAAAACCATATGTCGATTGGATTGTTCCAAAAGATCGTTATTATTCTCGAAGTCCATCAATTGATAAAGCAACTATATTCGATGCATTGACAAATCATGATAATCTTCTTATCTTTCTTACTTCAAACAAATTAGATGAGTTAAAAGTAAGCAAAATTAATGTACAAAAAAAAAAAGTGTATAATAGAGAGTCTTGTATATTCAGCATAGACAGCGCAGTGCATATCTATTGAAGACTAAAATCAGACTGAGTCACAATGACATTATACGTATTAATTTAATTCAATTTTCATTCTATAGAATCGTTAATATCAATCCACATGAGACCATACATCATTTATAAACCGTTATTAATATAATAATAATTTTTAATGACGATACGACGAAACAAAAAGGTTCGCTTAGATAGATAATATGAATAGAAATCATTAATGTGTATAAAATATTCATTTGATTATTTTCATGCATGCTTTATTTTCTATGATATTATGAAAATATTATATTAGTTTCGAAAACCAGTCATTGAATCTGTAGATATCAGTCTTGATGATAAAAACTAAATTTAGATCGAAAATACAAAAATAAGTGGTTCTACTTATGTCTCATAAAACTCAATTACTATTTATTGAATATTATTATTAATTTTTAGTTACGATATATTTATTTCTATCTGTCCAATTGTAATATAATTCATTCTACTCTTTGGTTAAAACAAATTGAAAAATTATATAATCAATCATTAATTAATTTAAATGAACATATAAGTAAAACACAACATAATCTTCTTTCATCATGTTGTCAATATGTTTTAAATCAAATATCTTCAGTTGATATATATCATCTATGTTTATTAAATCAACAATTACCATTATTAAATTTTTCTGAAATAAAAACAAAAAAATGTTTACCTATATTAAATAATCTTCAATTAAAAAAAATTTGTTATCAAAATTATTGTCATCAATGGTTAAAAACATATGCATCAATATATCAACAAAAATTATATTATAATCATGAAATTATTTTACAAAAACGACGAAATAAATTTTATGATCAATCTATTAATATACAAAATCAATTTATTAATAATAATAATAATAATTCAATAGAAAAATTTCAAGGATTATTATGTCAAATGAATTTAACATGGACATTTCGATTGATTAATTCAAAATATTATCCAAATTTTGGACAAAATATTGGTATGATTAATAATTCAAGAGCTATTATTGTATTACAAACAAAAGTAAGAAATATATTGAAATCTTCATTAACGTCAGAAAACAGATAGAGTTTAGCCTATAGCATTTTCTATATTGAGAAAACATTGAAATCTTTAAATTTAAAAAATAATTCATCAGATTATTTTCTCTTTATATTGAAACATTATGCCAACGGTTGAATAAAAACTTTAAAAAACATGCAAAAAATTGTCATACAAAAATGCACTTTTCATTATATTATTGTCAATGAATTTATTTTTTATTTTTTAGTTTATGTAGAATAACTTTGACATGACATATATACATTTATTATTGATATCTCGATTGTCTAACAGATTATAGTAAGAAAGTGAGAGAGAGAGAGAGAGATAAGGATAATACTATAGGATCAGTCGTTAAAAGTTGCTACTTATCGTAGATTAATCAATATACTTATCAGAATAAGTCGTATACTCTTGACAGTGAAAGATTTTTCTCAGAAATCTGTGTAAATTAAGTTGAATATGAGTAATGATTTCTTGTTCGGACAAAAAGTGTGATTCAAAGTTATCAACATATTTTTCTTTTATTCGATAATAACTAATAAAAAAAAAATGAATTTTTAATGAAGAAATATTATTATATAAATGCCTTTCCGGAATAGAAGATGCTGAGTTTTCTATTATATCCCAACGTAGAAATTTTTTTCTTCTGCAGTAGGGGGTCGTGCATTGTGTTGAATTTATTTATATCATTTTTATATAGAAGAATTTTTTAAACTTGAGGATTTGGGAAGACATTGTTCGGGTTCAAAATTAGGTATAAATTAAAGTTTTGATTATACAAGAAATTAAATAATTGCAAGAAATTTTATATTACGTTCAACGTATTGTTTCTTCAAGTGGATACTTTTCTATTGCGAAGAAAGATTTGAGTAAAAGATTTAAATTTTTCTTCAACAGTTGTATTGCTTATCATTGTTTATTTAAATTTATATTGATATAAAAGAAAATGACGCATTTGAATAATAACTCCCTGGATATTATTATCTCTCTTTTTTTTTGTGTATTTCTTATCATAAAAAGTCTCTCGATTGAAAAAAAGAAGACAAGAAAAAATATCTTATTATTGTTATTATTATTAATTAATACAATATTTAAAATTTTATTCAACTGTAGAAAAATTATTGTTATCTTATTATACTATTAATATTTAAAATAAATCTATTATTATTTTTCTTTTATTAGAATGAACAACATTATATTTTAAATAATAATGAAATAACAATTGAAAATATCTGTATGTAAGTTTAAAAATAGAAATAAAAATCTTTTAATAATCATATTCTTTTTATTTCAGATAATCTTATTTATAATGTATCACATAATTTACAATCTCGTTCATTAGCTACAATTCCAATTAATAATATAAACATAGAACATTCCAATAGATTTATTGAACTTACTACTGATACATTTCATTCCATTGTTTTAAATACAGATAAAGTAAGAAATTTAAAAATAACCTGATTTAATAATGTTTTATCACGGAAAAAAATTCAAATAACTTTTAGCATGTACTCGTTGTTTACTATACGAAATGGTGTGGATTTTGTCAATCAATATGGCCAATACTATATCAAACAAAAAGATTCTTTAGTAAATTCGATGATCTTGTTTTTACTAGGTTAGATAGAATCATTTATATATAATTAGACAAGTATTATATATATTTTTTTTTTATTCGATTAGAATTCAAGCTGACAAACATGATCTTCCATGGCATTTAACAGTATATAATTATCCAACATTAATTTTGTTTCCTGCACAGAAGTTTGTTTTTTATTTTTTTTCGTATTAATTGTAATTATTATTTTATTTTGTATTGTTTTTTTTAATAGCAAATATGATTCAATTGTTTTTCCGACATCAACAGAATCGATCACGAATGTTAGCATAATAAAATTTCTTCTTCATCATCTTTATATTGATGACAATGTCAATGAACACTGGTGTCAACAGACAAATAATAGTTTTTTATCAATGTTATCATCAACTTATATTGACTTTTCTCAATTATCTTATTTAGTTAAATCATTTTCTTGAATATTTTGTTTTTTTTTCTTTCTGTTATTGCATAAAAACAAAAATGCAAATTATTATTTCATTTCTTTTTTTTTTCCTTTTTGTTTTTCATTGCTATCCAAAGGCAAAACGAAGATGATCGATAGTTAGTGGGGGAAAAAAAAAGAGAAAGAACTATTTCTTCCTATTTGCTTAGTTTGCAACCGCTATAGATCAATTCAAATGTTGAAAACACAGAATAACAATGAATAGAAAGAGTCATATGGGCTTGACTAAGCAAGAAAGAAAAGAACAAAAAAAATTGTCTGACTCGTGATAGTGTTTGTGCTTTCTTTCTGCTTTTTGAGCTGACGATCAATATTTGAGTAAGTTAGCAATGTGCCGCGCATGTAAAAGAGAAAGCCACTTATATATATGATTCGAAGGTCTCTATTTTATCGTTGTCATCTTGTCTATTTAAACTATTATTATATAAAGAACAAAACAGTAAGAAACACATGTTTTTTCTTTTTCTGTTATTTTTTTTTTTTTATTGATAAAGACTTGCCTAGATTAAATGAGACTATAACTGATGTTATATAGAGTATAAAAGAGAGTATTCTTTATTGAGGGTTTAATCGTACGACAATGTGGTTGTGCATGGTTGTGCCCTTCGTTGGTAACCGTTTGTATTTTCAACTACCGTCGTTATTCTGATTCTTTTTTCTATGACAGAAAAAAGAAACAGCAACTAGGGTAACACGAGGTGTTTTTTTTTTCTTCTCCGTCTTCTTGTCGTGATTAATGCAAGTGTTTATTTGCCAGATGCATAAGAGGAATAGAATAGCACTCCCTCAATTTGAATTCTTTCTCTCTAACAGATAGAAATAAGTCTTGTATTCAAGCAAAGATAAATGTTACCGATAAATATCTAATGACCTTTAAGAGTGAACAAAATCAATGATATATTTGAGGACATTTTTTTAAAAGTAGATCATAATAAATTTGCGTCTTTTTATGAGTTATATTGACAATTGATAAACAGCATACATATGTTGTCGTCGTTTTTTTTTATTATTATTTACATTTCTATTTGTTTTATATAATTTCAAATATTATCTATTTTTAGATATTTCAAAACATCATTTTGTGCATTAATATTTTCCATATTTTACAAGTCAAATGTCTTCACCAACATTAATAGATAATTCCATTACAAATAATACAATAATTTGGGATAAATCATCATTACCAGATAAAATTCAAACATTCGATGAATATAAAAGTTTATATACATTATCAATTGAAGATCCAAATCGTTTTTGGAAAATGGCAGCTGAACGTTTAAATTGGTATCATTTTCCAACGAAAATAAAAAATACTGAATTTGATTATCGTACAGAACGTGGTATTGATATAAAATGGTTTGAAGATGGAATAATAAATGTTTGTTATAATTGTCTTGATCGACATATTGAAAAAGATCCAAATATAGCTAATCAAATAGCTCTTATATTTGAACCAGATATACCAACAGATACTCATCATCATATAACATATGGTGAACTTTTATGCAAAGTTAAAAAATTTGCAAATGTTTTAAAAAAACATGGAATAAAAAAAGGTGACCGTGTTACAATTTATATGCCTATGGTAATTGAAGCGTGTATTGCATTACTTGCATGTGCACGTATTGGTGCAATACATTCAGTTGTATTTGGTGGTTTTAGTTCACATAGTGTAGCTGAACGTATATCTGATTGTAATGGAACAATTGTTATAACAAGTGATTTTGGTGTACGTGGTGGAAAATGTATACCATTAAAAAGTAAAATTGATCAAGCATTATTAATGCCAGAATGTAATACTGTTAAAACTGTAATTGTTTTTCAACGATATTATGGTATGGAAAATTTAAAAGATGATTGTGTAGAACGACGTAAAACACTTGAATGGGTAAATGGAAGAGATTTTTGGGCACATGAAGAATTAGAAACAGTTAATGATATTTGTGAACCTGAACAAATGAATGCAGAAGATCCATTATTTATTGTATGTTCAAAAAAAAAAAATAAAAATTATTGATATAGATTAATCTATTTATTTTAGCTTTATACAAGTGGTTCAACAGGAAAACCAAAAGGAATTTTACATACAACTGGTGGTTATTTAACATATGTAAATTTAACATTTAAATATGTTTTTGCTTATAATCCAGGTGAAATATATATGTGTAGTGCTGATGTTGGATGGATTACAGGTCATTCATGTAAATTACAAACGTCTTTCTTTTTTTTTTGTAATGAAAATTTTAAAATAATACTTTTCATAATAGATGTGGTTTATGGACCATTAGCTAATCAAGCAACAACTGTGGTTTTTGAAGGTATTCCAACATATCCTGATGTATCACGTTTTTGGAATATTATTGATAAACATCAAATAAATATATTTTATACAGCACCAACAGCTATTCGTTCATTAATGGCACATAATGATTCATATGTTACAAAAACAAATCGTCAATCATTAAGACTTTTAGGTACAGTTGGTGAACCCATTAATCCAGAAGCATGGAGATGGTATTGTAATGTTGTTGGTAATGGTCGATGTCCAATTGTTGATACATGGTGGCAGGTAAATGTGGTTTTTTTTTAAATTTTTTATTATTAAAGGCATATCCACCCTCCCCTTTTTCAGGTTTGTCAAGAACGACTCAACTAAAAATGATGAAACTCTCTGGATAAATAGATTTCGACTAGTAGAATAAAAGTTATCATAAACTCAGAATTCTCAAGATAGAGAATACAAGTGCCTAGAATGACTTGAAGTTTTCTCTCTGCAAACAATCGGAATTCACATTAAGATTTTTATTTTTTTTTAATGCATAGCGATTAATTAATGTACTTGTAAAGCAACTAGAAAGCATGAATCATTGACCCATACAACATATTTTGATGATGAAATAACTATACTAGTATAGGTCATTTGCAACATGAAAGAATCATAGAACGTGATTTTTTGTATCGAAAATCTAAATAACAATGAAAACTTTTCGTTCGTATGCCTTTCGATAGAGAACACTTAAATGTCTTTTCAGCTGCAAACATATCGAAAAAAGGGGGATGCCCTTAAGCAATATACGAGTCGTCATTGCAGACAAAATGAGACATACATATCCGTCTTTCAATTGGCTTTAGTTCTTAACAAGGATTATTTTTCTGAACAAGTTCTTTTAATTTAGACATATGAAAAAATGTTGACTATGAATTAAAATTAATTAATTGAGAAGTAACTGATTAATTAAAAGTAAATAAGACAATATTTCTCTAACTTCAAGATAGACTCTACAACATGAATCGCATCTATGCTGAAAATTTCGGTAAGATCAGACTCGAAAAAAAATGTTCTCTTAAAAACAGATTTTCTAGAGATTCTATCTAGTCTCGAAACAAAATCATCATCTAGACATTCTCAAGAACGATTTGTACTGTTTGAAACAGATTTTGAATTTCTCATTCTACTGTAAGAGCTTTTTTTCGTTTTGCATATCCATATTTCGTCGCATCACTAACGAAAATTCGAAGTTTTTTTTTTCAAACTAAAATACATCAAGTAAAAGTCAATATTCTTTTTAATGTCATATCGGTAACAAATAATTTTGCCCTATATATATATATATATATGTATATGATTGTTTCTTAGACTGAAACTGGTGGATTTATGATAACACCTATTCCAAATGTTTGGGAATTAGAAGCTGGCTCAGCAACACTTCCATTTTTTGGTATTCAAACTCAAATATTCGATGAAAAAACACGAAAACCATTAGAAATACCAGATCGAGGTGAATTATGTATTCGAGATTCTTGGCCTGGTCAAGCACGTAGTCTTTATGGTAATCATAAACGTTTTGTTGATGTTTATTTTAAACCATATCCTGGTTATTATTTTTCTGGTGATGGATGTGAAATTAAAAAAAATGGTTATCATTGGATCACGGGTCGTGTGGTTCGTAAACAAAAAAAAAAAAAAAAACAACAAATTCTTGTTAAATCATTATTTTATTCTCTAGGATGATGTTCTTGTTATATCAGGACATAATATTGGTACAGCTGAAGTTGAATCTGCTCTTGTTCAACATGTTGCTGTATCTGAAGCAGCTGTTGTTGGTTATCCTGATCCAATAAAAAATCAAGGAATGTATTGTTTCGTTACATTAAAAGATAATGTTCTAGAATCGGATGAACTTCGTAAAGAACTTATTAAAACTGTACGTGATGTTATTGGTGCACATGTTCATCCTGATATAATACATTTTGCACCGAATTTACCTAAAACTCGTAGTGGAAAAATTATGCGACGTATTTTACGTAAAATTGTTGAACCAGATATTCATAATTTAGGTGATACATCAACATTAAATGATCCAACTGTTGTTGACGAATTAATAAGAACATCTCCACGAACAAAACTTACATAGAAAAAAAATAAAAATATATATTAACAATGTACTTCAATATAATTCGTTATCTTTTTCTTTCTTTTTTTTTTTTATATTAGACTTGAACTGGTTCATTTTCTTTTTTTTCTATCATTTTAAAATCAATTATATTTACATATCATATTTCGATGTATATTCCTCATCTGGGTATGTGGTTATTATTCATTATTGTCAATTGAACAAGAAAGAAAAAAAAAAAACAAAATATATTGTCTCTCTCTCGTATTAGAATTTATTTAAATAATGAATTGAAGTTTTTTAAACGAAAAAAATACGTTGAATAGATACAATATGACCACGACAAATAGGACATTGATTTTGAATTTTCTTAATACATGTTGAACAACAACAAAAATGATTACATGGAAGTATTAAATAGGATTTTTCAGCTGATAAACAGATAACACATTCTAATTTTTTTCGTAATTCTTCATGATTTTTTTTATTTATATCATCATCATCTTGATTTAAAATGCCTTTATATAATTGTTCTGAATTAATTGGATTTTCAAATGTTGATAAAAAAGTTAAACGACGTAAAATTTGTTCATTTCGTATTGTTCGATATTTATGAGCCCAAGAAAAGAATTCACATTTTCTATCTTTTTTCCAATTTGGACATCCAAAAAAATATGTATTATTATTTGAATTATCTTTTTTTGATTGATAAAAAGTTGCTATATCACCACAATCACATCGAACTGATGGTAAACGACATGGAGCAATATATTCTTTTGAATGAATTTTTATTGTTGCTCTATATCAATTAATTTGAAATATTAATTAAAAAAATAAAATAAAATCAACTAATCTATTTCACTTACAAACACATTTCACAATCGAATGATAATGAAAATAAATTTGATTGATAATAATTTTCAACATTTTCATCATGTAAATGAAATAAACAAACCATACTATCAGATTTGTAACGACCACAAACAAATATATTATCATCTGTATGTTTAGCTACAAATGAACAGAAGCATCGTATTGGATTTCGAATATTGTCGATTGACATTTTATAGAGTACTACTCAGAGAGTTTTTATCAATGAAAATAATGAGACTGTAATGAAAAGGCGGCAAATCACCTTAATTAAGAATACAATACATGCAATGGTTTTTCTTTTCTTTATTGATTAAATTATCTTATTGATAAAAATAGGAAAATTTTAATATATAATTTAAATGAATAGTATAACAGCTATCAGGTGAGCCTATATCATTGGCACATATCTTAAAACAGATACATCCTGCAATGATGAATTTTTTTTTGTTCTAAAAGATGCATCGTATAATTTGATATAATGTCAAAAATCATCAATGTTTATGGAAAATATGATCGTTGTTATGATATTCAACTCGAAGAAGAAATAGCAGAGACTTCAGTCTTGAAGTCTGACGTTTCTCTCTCGATTCAACTATACGAAGTTTTTGAAGAAAAGAGTCGATTACTTTGAGAAAATAACTCAAATAATCAATTTTAGTTTTGTAGAAAAAATGGCGCGCATCGATGAGCTTTGACTGGCTATGCTTCTTATAGTAGTCGAAAAAAGTCCTCTTATCACACAAAAATCTTTTAGTCACATAGTTTCATCATAAGTAGAGCATGGTCAATTCATTCGGAGAAACTAGAAGATCAACATAGATTTTTTTCTGTAGACGAGAACATTTCAATATAGAGAGTAAATCTCATAACATTCGGACGACTCTGTGCTTATTGCTATCACCAATAAAAATTTCATGTCAAACGGTTTTAATTTGCTTGCCTTATGAAGTAATCTTTACATAAGATTTGATGAAAATTATCGAAATTTGACCTATGTCTCCGATTAATTTTAACCATTTGTCTTAAAATTTACTTCAATGATTCATTGTCAATCTTTTGCATAGTGATAGTGTAGAGTACAAGATTGAAATTGATTTATCCTAGACTTCTTCAGTAAATGACAAGATTATTGAACATAGAATTATAGTTTCAGTCATTAATGAGCTAATAACATATTAATCAAGCATAAAAATTTGTAAAACTTTGAATAAATAAAAGTAATTGAAATAATTTTTGGCAAAATGATGCTCAGAATGTCTCCTATTAATTTGCATCTTCAGTGAGAATATTCGATCTGAACCTTCTCGATCTCACCATGCCTGCACTAAAAATGCATGGCTATGCGTGTATGTTGAACCAATTTCCTGTTCATATAAAATCACAGTTCGAAACCGTTCTTATAAATCATTTTTAAAAAAAATATATGACTGATTTGAAAGAATTGTAAGAATAAAACAATCAGAAGGCCATCGATCTTTAAGTATAGTGCTTGAAATTTCTGACGCCTTTTTCGTATTGTTATAATGAAATTACGAAGATCTTCATCTTTTATGATTTAAAAAATTCATCAGCATAATTCAAACGACATATATTTTTAAAAAAGTGATTTAAGGTTTTATGATTTATTGATGGTGAAATATATCCAAAATGATCATTTTTTATTTTTCTCAAAATAATGCAACATTTGACCATTACACATTACTAAAATAATTTAATATGATTTTTTTATAGTCTTTCTTACAGAGAATTTGACGATAAATTTTTTTACAAGAAATTTAACATTATAGGATTTGTGTCTGTGTTGAGATATTTGCAAAAAAAAGAAATTCGATGTTGCAATTATTTTGACATCTTCCGATAATATTTTATTCGACATTGATAAAATTTGTTTCGATATCTTGTTGATATGTTTCTAAAAATTTATTTTTCATTTCACCTTTTTGAATACGAAAAGATACTTCAGCACCATCATTATCTTTTATCCAATGATCTTCTTGATCTTTTATAGGATTTAAATGAAAAATACGAAAATAAGATTTTAAAGATGTTATTGTATGAAATCGACATTGATTTATCATACCAAAATCAACTTGATTTGACCAATCATATTTAAAATTAGAATTAATTACTACTTCATTTGTATCCCATACACAAATTAATTTATCATCTTTAATAATTTGTTTCATCATTAGATCAGCTGTTGGTATCCATTTCATAAGAAAATCTTCATTACGACATTTATTAATTGTTTGTCTTATTGTTTTAGCAATAGAAATTAAAGAAAATGGATTTGGAAAATCTGAAGTTAGCATAATTACAAATGAATTAGCTACATGACCAGTTAGAGCTATTGAATGTAATAAATTTCGATAATTAACAAGAATATAAGCACGTTGAAAGTATTCATTTGATATTTCAATTGAATTTTTATTCATAGTAACAATCATATAGGCATTAAGCACATCATGAACTGTTACTTCATCTTTACCATCAGCAAGACTATGTAATTTTGCAAGTTGTATCGAAGAAAATGATATATTAAGTTGATCAGTAGTTGTTTGATCTCGAACAAAATTAGTTGCAATTATCTCACGTTTGTCAGCATTTTGATATGGTTTTAAATTGGACAAGAGAGAAACATCAGCATCATCTTTAGTCCACAAATATCTATCAAAGATAGGACGAGGTAGAATAGGTTCTAAACCTTGATAGAATCGACTAAGATCATTGAGAAAATGAATATTTGAAGCAGCATCACCAACTAAATGAGAGAAACTCGTTCCGAGTACATATTCATTACTACGAAGTAATCGAGTAACTTTAATACGAAGAAGAGATTCATCCATTGGCTTGTATTGTACAACATCAATAAAAGGTTTACATATTGTCATATCATCAACAACAACAGGTAGATTAGGCCAATATTCAAGTTGATCGTTCTCGATATAAGTAAATGGAATTGGTTGATCAGAAAATTCAATAAGATATTGATCTTCATTGATTAACACTCTACCAGCTAAGATTGGCCAAATAGATAATGCACGACTAATAGCTTGTTTTAATCGATCAATATCGAGTAATGGATAAACAAAAATGTTATCAATACTTTCAAATATCAAATCTGTACCAGCTAATACTATTCGATGACCATTTCCTGTCGGCGGACAAGGTATAATATGTGATGTCATGTTTTAAATGAATTTATTTCTTTGAATACTATTATATAAAGCGTCCGAGATTGTCGAAATTTCAAAAATTCTTACGAAACTATAAGTTGTAATTGCGTCATAACATTGTTCTTTGTTCTTATCCTTTTGTTGTAAAACGCTAAATAACAAGGGCGACGATTTATATCAATTATAATATAACTGATAAAAGTATGTCTTCTTTTTCGAAATAATTAAAACTGTAACTTGAACTTGATCTAAATCAAATAAAATTGTTTGAGAATTTTCTGAATCTAATGTTCTATTGTCCATTTCAAAATATAATGTCCTCCACTGTTTTTTGAATAATTCGAGAATGCAAGTAGCTAAAGATTTGCGGTTTTCATCAATCGAAAGAAGAAACTGAAGCACATCTTTTCCTCTAATAATGTATAAGAGGAAATCCTTTTTTGAAACTAATTATTTTCGAAAAGCATATAAAAAAGAAGACATGAAAATGATTTATCATCTCGACAAAAGTTTGATTTCGATCTTTGATCTAGATATAGAGAGACTTCAAATCTATGGTTCAAGATGTAATGCGCTTTCTTACTTTTCATTACAATTTCATCGAAATGTCAAGGTACTATGATAAAAAGTGAAAACATTTAGTAAAAAATTAGCAAAGATCCCTATTTTTTGCTCATGTAAATATATGATTCAGTATACTTAATGTTAAAATGTAATATGAGAATCAATTCGCATTGTATCTTAAACGATAGACATCAAGTCCCTCTATCTAAATCATAGATCGAATTTGTCTTTTCTCTTTTCATAGATAAATCTTTGTCGTATATCTATCTATATGATAAACATCACTCCTTTAAAAAGAAATCTTCTCTTTTTTTCCTTATTCTTATATTCATTATAACATTCTATGTACTTCTATATGTGTTATCCAACCCGATATACGTATAAATCAATCGATCGTTTCTTTTTGTTGTTTCTTCTCCGTCTCTTGTCTTCTTTCCTTCCCGTCCGTAAGAATTTCAATTGAACCTCGCGCTTCTCTCGACTATGAATTTAGGTATATTTCACAGGATAACGAAACGTCGTCTTGATTTTATACAGTCTAGATGAAAGTAAACAAAGTATCTCTTCTCGTCTTTGTATTTTCTGATTGTTGTTTGCTTTTCTTCTCTGCTCTCTCTCTATCTGATATAACAGATCTCTTTCTTTTACGAAAGGTATAAATACTAAAACATGAAAAAAACAAGATGCACATATCGATTCGTAAACATTACAGAGATGATCTCTGTAATAAACACCAAAACTTGATAAGTTTTGATCTATTCATCTTTGGCTATATAGCCATCATGATTAAGATTAAGTATACTAAGTGTTGTATTTACATATTTAGATAATTGCTCTACAACTTCCAGATTCGGATAAGGTTTACGTAATTTATTTGTAAGTTGTACACGAAAATCGCACCATTCTTCTCATAAAAAATCTTTTAAAATTTTTTCTCAAGAAAAAAAATTTACCTAATATTGTTTCTTTTCATATTGATTCGTATCAACTCACATGATCTCTATTCATTGAGTTTTTCTTTCAGTTGCATATTCTTCACGTCATTTAGTATCATATTGTCCAACAAGTGTTGAAAGTTTATTAACGACAATATCAAAATCAAATGATGTTATTGAAACATCTCTATCAATATCTCAAAAGAAAAGATTTCACTCTTTAGCATTCGGCTTCTTTTGCCAGAATTCAAATCTCTATAAGAAATGTTTAAACATGATTTTTATTGATTTATTTTAAATATGTACAAATATAGATACAACATGGGAGGTGGGATAAACTATGGCCTTTTATGAACTTACAGATCATATTAAATAAAATCAATAACAAGTGCAGCAATTTGATTTTTTATCCATATTAGAGTCTTTCGTGCTATCATTTATTTTTCTACTTTGATGTTGTTATCGATTTGTTTTTTGATTGATTATCAATAGATACTTTTATATCTTCTGTTTTTCTTAACTTAGAAAAAAAAATGATTTCTATCCTTTATCAGACATATGCAAAGTAAGTTTATTTTTCTTTATTAAATTCATTCGAAATAGAAACAAGATCAAAAATATTTCAAAAAAAAAAATCTGATGCTTGTTCATTGCTTGAATACTGAGTTTTTTTGTTGTACATCATTGTAAACTGTCAGACAAAAAGAAAGCCATTATCTGTAGGCGTCAATGTTTTTTTTTCTGAAATATTAATAAAATCGAAATAAATAAAACAAAAACAAAAAATTAATGCAAGAAAATGAACTATTTACATTCACAAACCATTCATGATTATTAATAATAAATCACATAAATATATATAGATTAAGGTAATCGAGTCAAATGATATTTTTCATAAAGTTCTTGTGTAATACTTTCAATTTTATTACATGATTGTACAATCTCAAAAGCTAATGAATCAATTTCTTCATAACTTCGTTTATTCAATAATTTATTAATTAATATATGACGATTAGGAACCGTTAATCGAATAGCAGCATGTATTCTAAAAAAAAGAAAGAAACAATAATATATATTTATATCATTTATAATTTGATTTAAGATTTTCCCTTTCATCCGATCGTTAGATAATTACACATGCAAGTTTTAAATCGAAAAAAAAATGCGTAAGCTTACTGAGACTACTTACGATAAGTACCAATAAACTAGAATCTCATTGAAGAAGAGAAATAAATATCGTACATCAATAACTGATCAGTTGTCCCTAACATTAGAGTTGGAATTTGAAACACGAGCATAAAAGTTAAAGAATACATGATGAACGATTTTTTTTTTTCGTTGTAGAAGTTTGTGCTATAAAAAAATCCATTATTTGCATCTCAATCAATATAAGCATCACATTCCAAAGTACATACTGAATAAAAGTCTCTTTTCTCCTTTGGATCTTAGTTAGAGGTTTGAAAATTTATGTACAAATACTCTATTAGACATGTAGAAAATCATCCGAATTTCACTTGTTTTAGTGAAAATCGAGTTTTTATGAATAGATTCTATTTTTATTATAAGATTCATAAACTGAAAAGAGTGCCTACGATGAGTTATCATACTGCTGAATAGTGTACAACGAACAGTTTATGTTCTAATGATACTAAAGAAAAAAAAACGTTGGAAGGTCTAGTTATCATTAAATTCTCTTTTATAGTTTCGTAACTTTTAATAGTCACTAAAGAGCACATTTCATAGAAAATACTCAAAACTCACCAAGGAACGCTCATCGATCCAAAGCCCACTTATGAATAAAATATTAACTCAAAAGGATATGAACACCGGAGAATATTTCATTGTAAACTATGAGTTTCTGCACACGAATTGTTCGTGTAAATTACCATACAACGAATCTTGTCGAAATTCGTATGAAATATAGCACTACATGTTGATAGATTTAAACGTCTATCCCTTTCAGAGAGTTATGAAGCTGTAAACAATATTGAACATCATTCATCATAACTTAATATCGGCTGGAAATGTGCAAGACTAAGTTTTTCTTTTTCTGTTCCGACTTTAATAACTCAATTCAAATATAGATGTAAAATTTGAAATAAATCTATAAAATCACTCATACGTTTGTCTCACAGGCCATGAATGAAAATTTCCAAGTGTTGACGAATAAGCATTCCAAGCAATTGATGCTGAACTTGCATCATCAGATGCTGTACGCATTTCACTTAAAAAAGATGAAATAAAAGCAAGTGCTCGATGTAATCTTAATAATGTTCGACAACCATTTGGTAAAATTTTTCCTGATTTTGTATGTATTGTTGTTTCTCTTGTTTTAATACGTTCTATTTTAACTTCATAATCAATCATAGATTGTATAGATTCATAATTAATTGGATCAATATGTTGATATTCTTTAAGAATAATTAATTTATTATTTAAATCTTTTATTGCCCATTCAAAAACAGGACCAAGAGAACAAACAAAACTAAAAAAGAGAAAAATAATTCATTAAAACAATTTTTTTTTTGTTGGAAGAAAATCTTACATGCATAATTCTTCATAAGCACGAATATATTCATTAAGAAAAAGTCTATTATCTGGTTGAATACAATTAACAAAAGCATCTCGTACTCGTTTTAAATCAAATTGATGTGTATGATGAGTTGTTGGAATTTCAGATGATGTACTTGTATTAGTATCTATATGACTATGTGTTATTGGAGCTGATGCCATAAATTATATATATATAAATATATCACAGATTTTTATATTTTTGAAAAACAAAATGAAATATTTTTTATCTGAAATATATTAAACCAGTATTAACAAATCAATCAGTTGTGTATATATATTCACAAACATAGAAATATCGCTGATATAAGTGACTGTATTAGAAAAAAAAAAATTTTTTTTTTTTTTTCATTTTAATCATCATCCATTTTATCACCTGTGTCCGATGAAGCAACTGATTGCATATCAATATCATCATCATCTAATACATTGCTAAATTCATTACTTGATGTTGAATTTTCAACAACTTCTGCTATTTGAATTGATGGTCCATCAGATGAAAGTGGTGAATTTGATAATGCTTGTGATATACTAAAAACGAAACGAAAAAAATAAAAAATAAAACTGTTGCAATGTTGTTTAGCTATTTTGTTTTTTCTTGTCACTAGTCAAACAAAGAAGTAAGAGAATTCACTTGAGTCATCTGACGTATGTTGATTAGGATTGAAGTATTACACACAATACAAAATCACAAGTCATAAAAATATCTTTTTTTTTTGGCTTCTGTATAAATTTGAAAATAAAATATTTTACATAGATAAAGAAAAATACGATTTATATGACGACTCAGAATGTAATGATGATGATCAGTGGTCACCGCTTAACACCATTTTTTGCTTACAAGGGAAAACAGATTTAGGTTTGAGTAAACTATCGAGCTTTTTTTTTTGTAGAGGCCTCAAAGTTTTCGGACAACTCGTATCTTCGAATTTTGATCTAAATCTTTGCACATAGAGAGAACTGGCTTGCATAAAAAAAACTCAGAAGTTTTGGACAAAGTCTCTTAAAGATATAAACCCTTTTTTGAAAACTTCTGAATTTTTTTTTATAGAAGCTAGTCCAGTGGAGTTCTCTATATGTGCAACGATTCAGATGAAAATTCGATTTTTATTAGAACACTATGTAGTATCTATAGACAAAAAAAAACATCATTGAAATCGGAAGAGAGAGAGAGCATCTGAGGAGTTTCTCTGATTAATTCAGACTTGACTATGGTAATAGCGACTGATGATTGCTTCACTATGATGATTTTTCTCTAGGCAAATTAATACTCTTTGAAAATCATGAAGTAAATCAAAACTAAACAAATTTCAAATATGCATAATAAAATACGAAGAATTAGTTTATTATTTAACTTACGGAGTTGTAGTTGGTTCATCAATAAAATAAGCTGATTGTGATTGATGAATTGTTGAATAATCATCTACATCAGATTTTAATTCAGTTACTAATAAACTATTATTATATTGATTTGATTGAGAATAACTTCTACAAAAAAAAAAAAAAATAATTCATAATCATTATCAATAAAAGAAATTTAATCGAAATGAAAATTTTTTTTATCACCGTTTCATTGTTGAACTTCGTTTTGTTGTAGTTTCACATGGTGGTTCTTCAACTGTATAAGCTGTTGGTATTGTTGGTATTTTAAAAATATGATCATTATTTTCATATTTTATTTCATCAGATATAATAGGAGATGAAGTTTTATTATCAATTATTTTATCTTCTTCTTGTTCTTTAGTTTTATCATTATTTAATTGAGCTGGATGAATTGGCATATAAGGTACAATTTGCATCGTTAATTTTCTCCTAAATGTATATATATATAAATATTTTTTTTTACATTAATTCAATAGAATTTAAGCAAGCAATCATGAGTTCATTGAGTATACAAGGCATTCGATAAGGAAGAAAATTTTTTTTTTCTATATTCAATGTTTACCAGTAACGTATGCTCATGAGAAAAAATATCCTATAAAAATTATGCTTTTTTTTGTCTCAATGAATCATACTAAACAAAATGAGTTATTTCGATATAGAATAGGTTGACCGACTCGAGTTTTATAAAATCAACATGAATGAAGAATGACTCTTTTGACGCATGTCAAATATTCATTTTATATTACTTATCGAAATTCAGAATCAGAGAGTTCAAAATTAAATTTTATATCCTCCCCATGGAAAAAAATAATTAGACTTAACATATCATTGCTATAAATCAATATTCCTACAAAAGTAATTATATATTCTGATAGCGCATAGAATTCTCTACAGTCCTATATATACGCATTTTGAATTGCATTTGTTTTCTAATATAGAAATTCAAGCATAGTGGAAGCATCCGTGCTGTCACAGTCCCTCGGAAATGTATTTTTTTGTTCTCTTTTCAAGCTTATGTAGATATAAGAACAAGCTATTACAAAAGTAAGTACATATATTCTGAAAGCACATGAAATTGTCTATCATCCTATACTTTTATCAGTCGTGATGAATAGCATTACGATTACAGCTACTGTATGGGTTACATGCAGTAATCGAGAGCAAAAGTGCCGGAGAGAGTTCGAAATATTTGTCATCAAATAATTGAAAATTCAGACTGGCAAATAGAGAATTTCAAACGCTTTTAGAACATATATATATACTTACTTTTATGTCTAAATAAATTCGAAAAAAAAAAAACATTTCCAAAGGAATTTGATGACGAGAGTGCATTCAGTATGCTTGAATTTCTATGTTAACGAACAAATGTTATTCAAAACGTATATTTATAAGGCTCTAGAGAATTTCGTGCACTAACAATATATGTAATTACTTTTGTAAAAAATATGAATCCTAATTAGGTTTTTTTTTCATGAGAGTATATATCAATAGAATTTTTTATTCACTAATGATATCTTCGGATTAAAACACAGTTCAAATCTATCTCTTACATAATAGTTTTTAATAATTTTTTGAATAGAAAAACAAAATAAATACAATATTTGGAATCAGCATCAAAAATTTTACAGAAAATTTTTTCCTAAGAAAAATCTCCCTGTAATCTTCCAAAGCTATATTCTCTCTGATTCTGAATCCCGACAAGCAATATCAAATGAATATTTTTGATTGACATCGATACATTAAAATTTTTTTTATCGAATGAGTGCCTTGTATACTCATAATTCCTGTCTTAAAGAGACCAAAAAAAAAAACAATCTACCGTTCTATGTCACAAAGTTTGCTTATTAAACTATCTTGCAATTCATCATTTTTCAAAGATTTTTTTAATAACTTATGTAATTCAAAACGTGTTTCTTCAGAACATTTTTCTTTTTCATCATCATCATCATCATCGTCAGTATTATCATCTTCTTTTTTTTGATTTGTTTGTATTTCATCAAGAATCAATTCGCTAAAATTATAAGAAAAAGAAAAATTTTTTTTCAAATATAATAAATAAAGATTAATTTACTTATTGTTTGATGATGTTGTTATTGGTATAGTATTATTATTATTATTATTATTAAGTGAAGGTAGTAAATCTAATGAAAGTGTTTGCATTTCTTTAACCATTTTTTCTTCTGTTACAAACATTTTTTGATTTATTCTATTTATTAATTAAAATTAATTATAGAAAAAACAAAAACAAGAAAAATACTTTTCGTCTAAATCAGTTACAGCTACTTTACGTTTTCGAGAACCTCCATTTGACCAAAAATTTGAATTATTTGTATTTAAACTATAAATATGATTAATTGAAATTCAAAATAAAAAAAAAAAGGAATAATGACAATTAAATTAAATATCATTTCTTACTTTGAATTATTATTCGATGTCATCCATGATGAAGATGTTGAAGTAGAAAATGGTGTAGATTGCATTTTTGTATGAAATCTAAGAATAAATAATCAAATTTCAATTTCGAAAACGATTATAATCCTTAGTATATAATCACTATACAAATAATAAATACATACAAAGAAAAGAAATATCCAAACTATAATCAATTCAAAATTTATTATTGAGATTGTACTTGATGATAATATAAGCAAAACAAGACAAATGTGGATTATTACTGTCATTCATTTATTCTGTACTTGAAATTCAATCGTATATTTTTCTAGACAGAGGGCAGAACATGACGGACAATCAGCAACATTTTTTTAAAAAAGATTTCTATGAGAATATTCAATGAAAGAAAGAAATATTAATTTTCTATTAAAGGAAATTAAATAAAATTGTTTTTTTTCTTTGAAAATACTTTTCAATAAATAAAGCAATAGTAAAATTTACAAAAAAACATTCCTTCACCTTTATCTGTCACGTGTTTATGTGTTATTCAAGATGTTTCAATAACATCAAAAGAATATACAAAAATAATAAAAATGTCGCAATAACAAAATAATTTGATGTATATACAGTAATTCGCGTTTTATTGTGAATCATGTCATATCATTCTTTAGTCTATAAAATGAAACGCATTTTAATGCTCGTGACACTCATTTAGTGCGTACGTTAGTTTAGTTGAGATTTTGCAATGGCTTCAAACGATAATAATAATAATAGTAATACTAATGACGAAAAACCAAACTTACGACCAACCAAACGTGTAGCTGCTGGTGGTAAAAGTATTTTTTTACATCATAATCCAAATCAACCATCAAATAAATCCTATATACATGCAATATGGAAAAATACGAATGAAAATTCTTCTAATAAACAAGATCCATTTGGTATTCAACAATCTGATATTGAATATTCATTAAATAAAAAACAACGATGGGAAATTTTAAATGATTTTCGTCGACATATAACAAATCAATCAAGTTCATCATCAGACGATGAACTTGATATACAATCAGATTCTGAACAACAAAATCAAAAAAATTCAATACAAAAAAAGAAAAAATTTCAACGACGTGATAAAAATAGTCATCAAACAAAATATCGTTTATATGAACATCATAATACTGAACAACAAGCTACTTGTGTTAGTATTACAAGTAATACAGGTCAACAACGTATACAAATACCAAAAAAAACCTATATGCAAGATCCATCAAATACATTAAAATTACGACGACATGGAAATGTTCATACTGCAGATAATAATAATCGACAAACAACAAATGTTGATGTTACTTATTATGCTGTTGTACCACCACCAAAAGAAAAGCAATTAGCTAATATTCGAAAACAACATGGTACAAAAGGTATTTCTATAGAAATATTTTTTATCTATATAATTTATAATTCATTTTTTAATCTTAGCTAAAAAAGCTGTAGCAAGTATTCAACGTTCGAAATTTACTCAAGTTAAAGACCGTTTAGATGTTATTGAGCAATTAGAAGAAGATAAAGAACAAACATCTACTGATGATGATAATGATGATGATGAACCAATAACATCTGTAAATATTTGTATTGTTTTCTTTTTTTTTTTTTTTGATTGAATTGATTTACTTCTAGACTTTACAAAAACCGGATAAATTACATTTAAATGATTTTATTCCTATTGTATCAATAAACGATAATATTCCAAGAACATCAATAACTGAAAATTTAATAACAATTAATAAATTTGATCCAAAATCTTCATGTTATTATATTGATGATATTGATACAACAAAATATTCAAAAAAATTCCATAGACAAATAAGTCGAGAAGAAAAACTTTATAATCGTGATAAAGCTGTTTATCTTCAAATGGTTTGTTTGCTTTTTTTTCTTCTTTCTAATTTTGACTTTTTTTATTATTTATTAATTTAGCAAAAAGATCATGGTAAAAATATTCAAACAATTGAAAAAACTCATCATCATTTAATGTCATTATCATTTCGTTCAATATTAATAAGAAAAAATGATTTAAATATTGATTATTTAATAAATACATATGGAAAAATTTTTATTCATGCACAATGTTATCCAACAAAATATTTAATTTGTTTAACTGATCGTTTAAAATCTTATAAATGGTTAAATAAATTTCAATTTTTTCCAATTTATTCTATACTTAATTCATATCTTATTATTATTTTAAATGATGAAATAAAAAATGAAGAAAATTTTATTCGAGTACAAATTGGTCTTAATATGGATTTATATTCTGATACAATTGAAATTGAAAATTTATTTGAATCAACTGAATCAATATATAAAATAAATGATGTAATTGAAAAAACAATTGAATTTATAACAATTTTACCATTTGATACATTTAAACCAATTGATTCCGAAATAAATCGAAAAAAATTTATTGAAAATACTGAAGATAGTGAATTAAGTGAAAGTGAATTTCTTAATAAACAAATTCGTCATGTACAATTATTAGATAAAAATCAAACACGAACAACAACAATTGAAAATGAACAATTAGATAATATCGATATATCTATCGATGAATATGAATTAATTAAACCAGATATATGTACAAATTGTTATCGTGATATTAATGAAACAATTCCTATGACGGCATTAAAATCTTGTGCACATTGGTTTTGTAATGATTGTTGGAAACAATATCTTGAAAATTCTATTAAACGTGTTAATATTATTGTTTGTCCAGAATGGAATTGTTGTTCGATGGTTGATGTTGGTAAGATTTTCTATAGAAATGAAATGAGAAGAAGAATAAGAATATACAACGATGACGATAATCATCAGCTTTTTAAATAGAGTGCTGTACTAGTCTAGACATGCATATATAGAATAACGGTGAATGTATGATAACATTATGCTGACCTTAGACTCATTTCGATAAACCATTTATGGATTTAGATTCCTGGACTCCGAAAACCTTTAGTCTATTTTTACAAAATTCAGCTATTTTCCTGAAATGACCTCCCCGACCGAAAAAATTGAAATCAATCCAAGACTACCATAGTTTTATCGTGCATTCACTAGAGAGCTGCGGGTCCGGATCCAACCGTTTATTTTTTGTTGGGTCCAATTACACGTTTTTGTAGACCTGCTGCTTCTCAGATGAAAAATACAGCAACAAGATATAACTGTACGTTGAGTTTTTTTCTGAGAGTAGCGAATAAATAGGTGAAATCTTGATCTTTCATTCGTTCATGTACCCGAAAGATGCTAGGTATTGATGGAAAAAATCTCGGATTTGGACTCGGAGCTTCTAACTGCTAGAAATAACTTGATATGTTTTCAAGAGATCATATTGATCTATGTATTTTTATTCAATATGTTTAAAATATTTTCTTTTTTTTTGATTTAAATGTTAGAAAAATTTCAAGTAATCTTTTCTACTCAATAGGTACAATGTTATCATTGGTTAATGTTCGTTGTATGAATATTTATGAACGTAATATAGAAAAATGTCTTGTAAATTTATCTCGTTCTTATGTAAAATGTCCATTGAAATCATGTTCAAATGTTGTTCAAGTAATTGGTTCACGTATTGATCATGTACGTTGCCGTTGTGGTCATCGATTTTGTATAAATTGTAAACAAGAACGACATTTTCCCGCAACATGTAGTGCATATCGTCTATATATAGATGAAGTCTATCGAAATGGTGATCTTATCTCTGATTATAATGCTATAACCCAAATAAAAGGACGAAATTGTGTATCATGTAATAATTTTATTGAAAAAAATGGTTAGTTTATTTTTTATTCCATTTAATCTTTATCAAATTCATGGTTTTTTTTTCATCCTAGGTGGTTGTAATCATATGACATGTTCATGTGGTGCAGAATTTTGTTGGACTTGCACAGGTTATTGGAAAGATCATAATGCACCCGATGGAACATTTCGTTGTCCAAAAGAAACTATACCATTACAAGAAGAAGTTATAGCTAAACAACATAATCAATCTCGACGTTTTTATTATAATGCAATTCTTCATCGACATCAACGTATTTTTCAACTTCAATCTAAACAAAATGAAAATGCTAAACGTTTACTTGGTACAATACCATTAGATAAAGGAACATTATTTGATAGTACAAATATAAAATCTCAAATAGATAAACGTGAATCTGTCTTACGACATTTATATGAAATGGTTAAATATATTGAATATTTACATTGTATATGTGAATTTATAGCTGTTTCAGCTGAAGGTTATGGAAATAATCCACGTGAATTTCGTAATAGTTTACAACCGCTTGAAACAATTGTTTTTAATATGAGTCAAATTTTAGAAGGTGGAAAAGGTTATAAAGCTATTGAACAAATAAATCAATTACATACAACAAGTGAAAAAATTATTGAACGTCTTCGACGTGCTGTTACATTAAGAGAATTACGTCGAATACAAACAACTGGTTATATTACTTCATAAAAAAAAAAAAAAACACAAAAACTTGGAATTCTTTTTCGCTTTTATTTTTCTCTATTATATTGAAATACATTTAAATCGAAATGAAACATATTAACAACAACAAAAAAAAAAAAAAATATCACAGATTATTGTTAAACAACTACTTCATAAAAAAGTTTTTTTATACGATTTGGTGTAGAATTCTCACTTGATGATGAACTTTGAATTGTTGAAGAATGTTCTTTTAAAGGTGAAATTATCGATGGAAAACCATAATGAGATATTAACATTGAATTTGGATTGATATGTGTTTCATTGTTACCAAAAAGTATATTTGTATGTTGAGTTATACAACTCGATTCTGATGATGGATTTGAACCAGATCGAGAATTACTACGACTCCAATGAGGTGATGTATGAATTGTTGCTGTACGTATTGCTGTTCCGTCTAAAATCATATAATATTTCAGTTAAATATCAATTTAAAAATACGAAGATTTATATCAAAGCAAATAGAATCAATTATTTCCTCTTTTGATTTCTGTTGAAAGAAAACAAAAAAAAAAAGATATTTACATTGAGTTTCATCTTTTGATCGTTCTCCATCGATAATGTCACCTAATAAATTCAAGAAAAATAATTATCAAATTAAAAAAAACAAAAAAAAAATGTTTGCAAACGTACATGAACTTGCAATATTTTTTTCTTGATATTCATAATTGTATGAAGATGAATGAATATTTGAATTACTATACAATAGATAAGAATTTTGAATATGTGGTTCAGAAATAATTCTAATCAAATAAAATAAAAATATTTTCTTATAATTAAATTACACTTACGGTTTAACACCTTTATCAAAAACATTCATACCAACTAAAAATAAAAATAAAATTTATAAGAATGTATAGAAAACAAATTCGCTTTATTATATTTAATCCTATTTTCAACTTCGATTTGTCGTTATCATATTTCAAGAAGATATTAATACGAAAATAGTAGATAAATTCGATTAACTAATCTTTAATGAGTGATAATCTTTACAGCGATATTTAAAGATGTTTCTTCATCTTTACGTTAGGAAATAGAAATGTAAGCCGATGCCTTAATTGACGCCTACGAAGATCTCAGAATTTGGTGGCGGCGACTATGAATACCGCAGGATTTGTCGGCGACGGCTATGAAGTCCTTAGGATTTGTCGGCGGTGATCAGGAAGATTTCAAGATTTGGGGTTGGCGGTTACGAGAGTCTTGGGACTTAGAGGCGGTGATGATGCGGCTGGGTTGCTAGAGCGTTGGCGACGGCGACTCAGCCGATTGGCTTATACCTCTGTTAGAAAATATCCTTTGCTCTGAATTATTTGCCTATCTAACGAAGAAACCATTCAAAGTATCTATCACTGCTGAGCACATATTTTGGACATATATAGAATTACGATAATTTTGCAGGATTTTACTATACGATGGAAACTTCACAGGAACGTGCAACAAAGAATTTATGAATTGAAATTTATTCTATACGTAGTTCTCATGGTCCTAAGGATGCGTTAAAACTTTTAGTCATAATGGCTGTTTCTTTTTTTGGAGATAATAAATGCATTTAAAAGTCAATTAAATTTTTAGAAAAACTCGGAAGGTTTTGAACGTTGAATATTTTATAAAAGAAAACAGTCATATCGACTGAAACTTTTGGCATATTTTCAAGATTATACGATCAATTAACAGACTAAATTTCGAGTGAAAAACTCTTTGTTCCTTATAATAAACATCCAGTAACATTCTTGTCACTCTGCTGAGAAGGTTAATCCCCGTCCGAGATCCTCTCTATATGCTTAAAATATAATCACAACAATAAAAAATCATTTCGTAATGTTCTCTCGGCAAATATGAAATTTCTTTTTCATATCTTATCTTATTAAATAAATAATATGTCTATGATTAATCATTTTCAAATGTTAATTCATTCATACTTACATTTATTTACATTAGCTTTTAATCGATGTTTTTTCTCTCGAAAACATATAATTGCAATAATAATAATAATAACAAGAATAAGAAAACTTGTCATAACAAAAATACCAATAATCATTGCTGTTGAATTTTGATTTTTTATTTCTAATAAAAATTAAAAAAAAATTTAATTTTATAAAAACAAACAAAAAAAGAAAATAAATTTACCTTGATTCATTTCAGTTTCTTTTCCACATATATGTTTATATTTTTTTGAACAAATTGATAATTTTAAATAAGAATATTCTTTTTCTATTTTCCATTGTACACGATGATTTAATATTGATAAACATTGTTGAATTGTTTGATAAATTTTTCCATCGGATGATTGACGAATATTTAAACATAATTTTTCTTCATTTAATTTTAATAAACGAGTATTATCAGGTAAATAATTAAATTGAAGTATATTTTCATTTGAATTATATGATACAACATGTAATTGTGGTAAATCTAATAGATAATAAAAATTAAATTAAATCATATAAAATAAATTAAAGAAAAAAAAAGATCAATACCATCTGATGTAATAATTAATTCATTTGTTTGTATAGGTATTTCATGGCTCCAAGGACTTTCACCATAAATATTTATTGATTTAATACGAAATTTATATAATGTTGATTCATTTAAACCTTTTTTCAAATGAGAAAAAAAAATCTCCTTAAAATTTTCTTTTTTTTTTCATAGTTTAATCGAAGATCGAATTGAAATTTTCTTGCTTATATACTTCATCTCAATCCATAAAAGATTATCATCAGACTCATAGAAGATGATTTTCGCTCATAATTCGAAAAACATTATTAATACTGTATATTCAAAAAAAGATGGTTTAATATTCTCCACTCTATCAAAAATTGATTTCGGGATAGATACATTCAAATCGTATGAAATTTTCAGCTATATACTGTGATGTTGAATAGAGATATTCACTAATTAAAGCTTAAAAATAGTCCCTTTGGCCACTCGAAACTCTCTGTGAACATTCATTCTAAGTATTCAAGTGTTTTTTTTTCAAGATGCCGAGCTTGACAGACGAGGGAGAAAAACCTATTATTTATGAAAGATTCTTCCATGTATTTATCTTAATTTCAATTAATCAGACGGCAATAGACTTTTCTTGGCTGGGATGGGAATTTAACAAATTAAATAAATCATATTATAGTAACAAAGTTTCTCGAACTTATAAAGCATTGTAAAGAAGTCTTTCAACCTTCTTGCTAGCAGAACTGTTTTGTTTTTTAGTTGAGATGAAAAAGCCATCCTGTCTCATTCATGGCTAGCATTAAATTAAAGACTATTATCTGTTGATCGTACTAACGAGGGAGTGTTTCTAGTTGTCAAGTCATTTTTTACCAGAAACGATGTACATGATGTAGGTTCTAATGAGCTATGAATGCCTTGAAAAGAGTTCAAACTAATAGCTTATAACCGTCGAGATACTGTAATTTTTAGCGCAATGCCGTGATCCTCCTCAGGAAAGCTGAGTTTCGGATTTCAACTTAAAACTTTGCACAGACACAGACCTTAACAAGATTGTGAAAGTTTAAGATTTTTTGATTACGTCTCTTCTGAAATAAGAACATCGGATTTTGCCGCTGTTAATGAAAACATGCTTTTACCATAGCCGTATCTTAGAATAGAAGCAATCAAAAGATCTGAAACTTTTACAATAAACTATTCTCATTAAGATATATCTCCATGCAAAGTTTAAAGTCGAAATTCGAAACTTAGTTTTTCTAGTGTTCCTGAGGCGAATCACAGCATTGTACTACAAAATAGAGTATCTAAGCTATTATCCCAAACTCTTGTTCAGTATATTTATAGCTCAATAGAACCCACATGACGCCCATACTCTCGACTCAAAATCGATTTGATACTTCAAAACGTTTTCTCGTAAATTATTCTTTGTTAATACAAAACACACACACACACTACTCAAGTCGATCTAATAACCAATCACTACTTATGTGAGGTATACCGATAATTATTCTCTGATCGGCAATAGTGTGAACAAACTACCTTTGATAGAATATTCATAAGTATTGAAAGGTATTTGTTGAGTAATAACAGATGAATTCCATGAATCAGTAACTTGAATTATAAATTGTTGAGATCCACTACCACCATCAAATGATGGAGAAAATTGAATTTTAAATGAAGATGATGTTATTTCTGATATAATGATATTTTTTGGTGTTTCTGGTTTACCTTTAGAAAGAAAAATTTTCCTTTTTTTTAATACAGTAAAAAAAAGTAAATAAATTCTTACCACGAGATACAATTGTATAAGACCATTCTTCTTTTCCTAATAAATTTTCAGCTATACATTGATATATTCCAAAATCTTCTATTGTTATTTTTGAAAAATATAAATAACATATATCATTTATTATTTCATTACATGGTATTATTTGTTCATTATATTTCCATATAATATTTGGTTTTGGTTGTCCAATTACATGACATGTTAATGTTAAAGATTGACCTATTTCGACTGCTATTTTTGAATATGTTGTTTCAATAATTGGTCGACTTTGTACAATAAGTTCTATTGTACTTGAATTATTTCTTGTTTGATTATTATATAAACGATTATATACTATACATGTATATAAACCTGAATTATTACGTTCAACATGATTTATATGTAAATCAGTTAATTGATTATCATGAAAGATTTCTAAATTATTTTTCAACCATATTATTTTATATGGTAATGGTTTAGAATCAACAAGACAACGAAGTATAACTGAATCAGAATAATTTACTAGAATACGAGATTCTATAAATCGAACACGAGGTGAATCTATATTCAAAATAAAATATTTAATTTAAATAAATTCTTTATTTTTTTGTAATATATAAACTTACATTCAACATCAAGATAAATCGATTGATTTACTTTACCAATAGAATTTTCTACTATACATGTATAGATACCACTTTGTTCAGATTTTAATCGTGGTATATAAACAACTTTTTCACCTATAAAATAATTAGATACATACTTAATAATTAAAACAAAAAAAAAATTGGTTCTCTAATTCTAAAAACGATGTAGAGAATTCAAACTTATATAGTCAGTGATTTATGAATAAGTCATTTAGGTTTACGAGAAAACTACTCGAACTAATATGCTCGCTGTTTAAGGCCTACAAGGATGTTTTGGTAAGACTAACAAAAGTCTATAAGGGTTCGTTCCTGCAAACCTTTGGAGACGAGTTATAATCATTTTACTGAAGTTTTGACCATAGATAGGTTAAGGACCCCCCCCCCCCCCACCCTTTTCCGACTCAAAATTGTCAGCTTTTTATTTTTTGCGTTTAGGACGTAGATGGGAATGTCCTCTATCTAATGAGCACATTTTAAGAAGACTAAATCACCTTTGTTAAATATTAAAAACTCAATTTTATGCTAAAAAATGTAACTTTCTTCACCTTTTTCTTCTAAATGGTAAGGTCGATTAGGTTCAAACTGTTTTTTTCTGAGTACTTCGATCAAATCGGAGTGTGTCGTATTTTTTTTCTTTTCAAAATATTATATCGATGAAGTTTTTCTAGATTTTACAAAATTAACATCATTCAAAAAAAGCTTCTTTTTAATGATTTTTCGATAGTGTCTCTAGTCTTTTGCTTCTCCTAAGCTTTAGGAACAATATTTTTCAGAGAAAAAAAGACACACCCAGATTTGTTTCTAGTTACCATAGAAAAAACTTCAGCTCTAAAAAAAGTCGTGTGACCGTTTGCGAAGGAGAAAACTTCAGGCTAAAAATGGCCTTTGACCTGCCAAAAGGTCTCGGATGAAAGCATTTGACAGTTTTGAGTCTATGACAACTTTTGTTCTACTCATCAAAATCTATCTATCCTGGAAGTTTCAGTCAAAAAGCGTGTACTTCTGTTCAGATATTAAATTTCCAAAAAATAATCACTTGCTCCAGGCGTGATACATCTGTTGAGTTTACTTGAAAATTTAATATCTCAACGAAATAATATTCTTTTTGAACTAAAACTTTCAAGATATTTTACGAGTTATTCAACCTATGTATAGAACACTTGTCACATGCGTGTAGATGAAGAGAAGATCCAGATAAGTACCCACACTCTATATATTGTTTCACTGTACCTTCAATATTTTGACTTATTTATTCGAAGAATAAAAAAAACAAAAACAAAAGCTATGGAAGGCATTTTTCGCCATTGTGACCACATTCGGGATATTAACTTTTGCTCTACTCGTCAAAACCTATGTGCCCTGAAAATTTCAAATTATTCTAATGAGCCATTCTCCAGAAATCCAAACAATGAAGATGCCCTTACGAGGCCTCAAAGGCTCATGAAGACAAATTCTTTTAGATTTTTATTAGTCTCACAAAAGCCAACTATGTACTCAAATAGCGAGTATTAGTTCGAGGAGTTCGCTTGATTGAAAATATTTTTTATTACACTTACGGCTAACAATTGTTGTTCCATTCATTAGCCAATAAATCGATGTTGGTGATGGATTTGCATCATAATGACATGTTAAATTTTGTTGTTCACGTTCAATACCAATAATTTTTCTTATATGATTTTGTTCACTTGAGAATATTGTTGTTCCTTCAAGTATTTTCACATATGGTCGATCTATTTACATATATATATATATATACATATAAAGAAAAAGATGAACATATGGTAATTGTCGCTTTTTTTAAGCGTCTGTGCTTACATTTAACGTGTAAATATTGTTCAATACGAAGTGGTATTGTAAGTGCTTGATTCCATATATGACATTCATATTTTATATTATTATCAAAACGAGTTACATTCAATGTATATATTGAACTATTTTCTGTTGTGATCACTTGTTCATTCAATGAACTGGAAGAGAATGAAGATTTATATCAAAAACAAAAGAAAATAATACAATGGAATATAATCATACGTGAGAAGTATATTATTGCGATGCCATGTGTATTGAGGTGGAGGATTTCCATTTAATGATGAACATGTCAATGTGACAGTTTGATATTCTTCAATATTCTCTTTATTGATTGTTAATAATGGTGCCTCCGGCTTAACTTTTTAGATAGAAGAAAAAAAAAAAAAAAAAAAATGAAATCAATGAACAGATTGTTATTATTATTATTATTATCCTTATTTTTATTTCTTACTAAGTACAACAAGATTATATTGACAAAGTATTGTTTGTGTTTCAAATGTTTGACAAATATATATTGTTGAATCTTGTTTATTAACATGAAATATTTCTAATGAACTTGATTGATTTGTTAAAATTGTTTGATAAAATTTTTCAAATATTTTTGGAATTTTTCCATTAATTGATATAATAAGATTATCATCATCAAAACGAAATTTTTTCCATTGAATTATATTTTCTTTTAAAGAAATATTCCATGGTAATTGACAATGAAATTTTACATTGTCATCATATGTAACTGTTATATTTTCCATATGAATAGAAGTTAAAGCTACAAAATAAAAAGAATTATTACAAGACAAGAAAACATATACGTAAACTTACATTGATGTATGAGAAAAAAAAGAAAGATAATCAATCGAATACTATGCATTATATTAAAGTCTAAAATATAAAATGTATATAAAAAAGAGGAAAGTGATGATGATGATGATGAACGACAATTTGTACATCTCTCTCTCTCTCTCTCTTTATTCTATAGAAAAGAAAAAAAAAAAAGTATCGATCATGTTCAATCTGTCGAATAGCTAGCGGGCTTCTTCTTTTTGAAATATGGACATAAATATACAAAACGGGACTATATCAATAAAAGATCGAATCAACACTCTTATTCAATTACCTGTTGTTGTTGTCAAATGAACTGTATGATGAATATTCTATTATGGATGATATGACTCGAAGTATTATAAACAGATGTGATTGAATGAAGGATACAAATACGTAATCACTGTTATGCATATATATATACATATATATATATTGGGAAACACACACGTTCTCAATAAACGGTAGAAGAACTATAAGTATATTGTCAATCTAGTTACGATATATCCTGCCAATTATTGTTTGGACACTTGCTATTGACATATTCATAATAAAAAAAAAAATGAGCTAATGATAAAAGAAATTTATCAAAGTGAATATTATATATAGATGGGGATGAATAACTTTTTTGTTGATGATTTAATGTACTGATACAATATTTATTTATTTTGTCAGATGGTATAAAAAAAAAAGAAAACGAGACGAGTGATGAATATCTATGAAGCATAATAATTACGTTGGAAAGAGGCACATGACCTTTTAGATACTCAAGATATCTACTTATTTATGAAGTAGCAGACATGGTTCAATCAATTAGATATCAAATGAAGAGGAATAGACTCTCTCTCTCTCTCTTCGATGATGTTGATGACTACTAGTATCTGTAGGGTGCCGTAAGCGTCCGATGACCCTTGTCAATCAGCATTAATAAAAGAAAAAGAAAAATGACAGCGGAAAGATAAAATTCACTAGATGCACACTTAAGTATTCACATATCTCTTTTCCTATAATTGAACTTGTCTATTACTGAAATGATTTGCTCACTTATAATCATCATGATAGTAAATTTCAGTGTGAAAAAAGAATATATAATCAAGTGGAATTTTAATTGAAGATAGAGCAAGTCATATATATATATACATATATTACTCATTCACCTGTTCAAGTGCAAAAAGACATGAATTATAATCGGTCAGGCAATATGTATATGTATACATACCAACAAGGAAAAAAAAAACTTGACTTGTTGTCGATCTTATCTCGTGCTCTTCTCATTCTATTTGTATATGTATATATACATTCAATAGAGGAAATAACAGACGATGACTCTCGAAAATAAAGTTTATCGGATGTATGCGCGCTGATATCATCAATTTCGTTAATCAACACACAAATAATGTGAATACTATGAGCATTGTCTGTCGATGATGATTTACGTCTTCTTCTTCCTTGTTCATCTAATATATAGATAAGATTTGCCATTCTATTCTCTCTCTCACTCTCTTGATGTAAAAAAGAGCAATAATTCATCAAAATGTACAAAGGCTAGCTAGATATATTTACTTATACTTATAAACATCGACATACATACAGATATATGTGAAAGAGAAGTATGACTTTTATTTATTAATCCAGTATGTTTCGAACAATTATTTCTCAAGCAATGAAGAGAAGAGGAAGAGACATGATGAACCCTTAGGGCATTTATTGTCATACTTGTTTCTTTTTTTTTTTTTGGTGATAAATCGATGTGAGAAGAAAATAGTAAGTACACAAACTTGACAATTGAATCATGTCAAGTAAATATCGAAGTTGACTCTATTGTTCATTTTTGTCAATAGATATATATATATATATATTAAACAAACGAATCAGTTACTTGTTGTTTTCATCAAATGCTTGTTTGTTACGTCAATCATATTAGTGGAAAAAAGAAGAACATTTGTCTTATCTCTTATTAAGAATAACGTAAAATAGAGACATACATACAACAAAAAAAAGAAGAATGGATAGTATACTCATTTATTTCCGATTAGAATGAAATGTCAGACAAACAGAAAAAGATTTATTTATCTGAATGTTCTCTGTGTAATATGTATTAGAAGAAAAAAAAAAATCGTTATTTCATTCTTTGAAAACGTGACAACTGCTATTATTGAAGAGATTCACTCCTACTGTTGACTCTCTTGCTTTCTTCTTCTACCGACTTCGATGATTTAATTAATAGTTAATCGTTGACGGAAATCACTTGCTGTGCAAATCATCGAATGTTCAATTGTTTTCTTGATCATCATCATTCATTTTATATTTTTATTCAATTGAACAAGCACAGCTGGATTAAAGAAATTATAAGAGTCTTCTTCTTCTCGAAGTCAAAGTAGTTTAGATTAAATTTGAATATATATGTAATAATAACTAAGAGCTTTGACTTGAAATTTTGTCTATAGACATATTTGACAACCATTAAATAAACTTTGCATATGTTTTTCGAGATGTTCAATTTCTAATGCCTATAGAAAAAAAAAAAATTTTAAGTCGAAATGCTTTGCTCTCATTATAAAAAGACAAGAACTCTTCACCAATCAGTTATTGACTTTGTTTTTATGATTTCTATTTTAAGACAATAACTATCAAGTGCATCTGTTGCTACAATCTCTGATACTAGTCAATAAAATTTTTTTTGTATACAAAAATAATTTTCTACTAATTCGAATAGATGCTGTTGTTGATCAATGTCTTTCACTATAGATACTTTTAAATAAATCTACATCAGATTTACTTTCATTAGCTCATTTATCATCATCATTACAAACACCAATTTCTTTTTTCAACTATTTACTATTTCTATATCTATTATAAATATTGTTTTTAAAATAAAATCAAATAAAAAAAAAAGCAATCATACAAGAATCTATTTCATTAAAACAGTGAAAATCTATGTATGGTATACATAAGATTATTCTTGTAAATTGACATTTGAGTAAAACAATTGTCTGTGATGATGATGATGATGATGATTTCTTGAGTAGAAGAATTTTGGAAACCAAAAATTAAGAGATAACTATTAGTTTTTGTTAGTTCTTATAGGTAAATACAATTGCATGCAATGCTCAA